CGACAGCGGCACTCGTTGCCGCCCGGCTCTGTTGCAGATCTCATCGATGATTTTCTGTAAGTTCCTTATCACCTGCAACAGCCTTTGTGGCGGATGGCGAACGGGACACAAGTCAGTGCCACAAATCGCAGAGCGTTACGCCAGAATTACCAGAAAGCGCGGACAGCCACTCACTACAAGTAATCGAGGCACTAGGCTATAGTCGTTCAAGAAGTGGTCTCGAGTGTCAAAGCCGCCATCCACCCAAAGTTCGCCGATCCTGTCCAGCAGCAAATTCATATTAAGGCCCTAATCCGGAAACAAATACATGGGCTTTGCTGCCGTTGCTCGCGGTCATTTTGTCAAACTTTCGCGGTTGATCCGTTGCCATGCAGTCCGAGTTCCTAAAAAGACCAAAGCGTTGAAAGGAGGCCAGCCGTTGTGATTGGCCGCTTTCCAAGCCATGGATTGTTCGGCGAGGTTAAGGACCGATACACCGATATTCGATAACACGACTCGGGCGTCTACTAATATCCCACCGTTAAAGTTCTGCTCTGAAGGACCGATGTCAGCGTCTTCACCATCAAGTTCGTGTGCAACGTCTAGTATTTCATCAGCTAGGAGATAAAAACACCAAAACAAAGACAAGCGCAAAAGACAAAAACAAAGACACAAAAACACAAACACAAAGACCAAGACAAACAAAGACAGAGACAGAGACAAAGACAGAGACAGAAAAACACAGATACAAAAACAAAGACAGAGACAGAAACACAGACAAATAATTAGACAGACAAAGAGTTAGACAAAGACAGAAAGAAAGACTCAGAGACATAGAGACACAGAGACACAGAAATAGAGAGACAGAGACAGAGACACAGAGAGACAGAGACACAGCGAGACAGAGACACAGAGAGACAGAGACACAGAGACACAGAGACACAGACAGACAAAGACACAGACAGACAGAGACACAAACAGACAGAGACACAGACAGACAGAGACACAAACAGACAGAAACAGAGACAGAGAGAGACAGACAGACAGAGAGAGGCAGACAGACAGAAAGAGACAGACAGAGAGAGACAGACAGAGACAGACAGAGCCAGACAGAGACAGAGACAGAGAGACAGACAGACAGAGAAAGAGACAGAGAGAGGGAAAGAAACAACGAAACGGACATAGAAAGAACAAGGAGAGACAGCGCGAGAGAGAGAGAGAGAGACAGAGAGAGGGAAAGAAACAGCGAAACAGACATAGAGAGAATAAGCAGAGACAGCGCGAGAGAGAGAGATACGGAAAGCGAGGGCAACAGACATAGAACGAGAGAGAAACAAAGCAAGACCGCGACACAGAAAGAGAGAGAGAGAGAGACAGAGAGAGACAGAGACGGCTCTCCCGACCTGCGGTGTATCTTACACACAGTCGGGCGGTAAGCCCCCTTCCACATTGAAGGACGCTGCCAGGATGCCCGAAGTCCCGGCCCCCGTCGCCTCATGTCTCTTGCCTCTATCTCCTCTACCGTCTGATTTTCTCCTTGTGTTGGGCCGGCACGGAAAGCGAGGGCAAGAGACATAGAACGGGAGAGAAACAAAGCAAGACCGCGACACAGAGAGAGAAAGAGAGAGAGAGAGAGACAGAGACAGAGACGGCTCTCCCGACTTGCGGTATATCTTATACACACTCGGGCGGTAAGCCCCCTTCCACATTGAAGGATGCTGCCAGGATGCCCGAGTCCCGGCCCCCGTCGCCTCATATTTCTTGCCTCTATCCCCTCTAGTCTGACTTTCTCCCTGCATTGGGCCGGCGCCCGGCTGTCAGGTGTAAGCCCTTAAATCCATTCAGAATCCAGCCCAAATCCATCCAGAATTACGCTAAGTTCGGTCCCTTATTCGAGAGGTCTGAGGCACCATGCCGAGAGCATATTCCTGAATATAATGTCCAAGTATACCATACAGATTATGATACGCTATTGGATAAGCTATTGGTCGTATGTTGTTAGCTGGGCCCTCCTGCAAGGACAAGGTAATAATCTCCCTGGGCTTTAGCTTCGCCTTCCAACCTGGCCGCAAAACACATGGACAAGCCCACGGCAAAAACCAGGAAGGCAAACAACAAACAGTGCAAATAATCGGTAGAAAAAACTCCGGTATTCCATACCATGAAAATCGAAAATGTTTACATTACTTTGGGAATGTTGGAAAGCAAAATTGATATCGCAAATATACACCGTGCCTAGCATTATTTCGGTTATTTATGACTTCAAGATTGTGATCCCCAGACGCAGCTGCGCCTCTGCCGGGCCACACGCAAGTGGCAAAATGGTTGCAGCAACAGGACTATTATGATAAAGAAATGAAAATCGAATTAATTAGGGCACCATCAATTTTGAGAAAACCCAATTCGTGCTTGCAAAGAAACTTCTTTCTTTTCATAATGCTTCTGTGGAAGAAGTTGTCTCCAATGTACACACAATATTGCGCAATGTCCATGATGCTTGCAAACAACACCGTATAATCTGATAATGCTAATTTGCATGAAATTATCTCGTATTTACCAACAATGCCAAGACCTTTTTTTGAAATTGTAAAAGACAACACAACAAGCCAGAATTAAGAATGCACATATATATATATATAACCATCCTGGAGTACATAGAATGTGGAATTGAAGGTTCCGGCCGTTTTTGTCCACGAATTTTTTGAAAATCCAAACCGATACATAGAATAAGAAAACGTGGATTTCGAGCTTTCAAGTCAACCAAATTTTTGAAACATAGAATATGGTTCCCCTCGATTATCATAGTTTGTCTTTTTTTTGTTCATGTCTATTCCTTTTATGTTCCTTTTGTTTTCCTTTTCTTGTGATTTTCCGTTCCTTTTCTTGTGAAATTGTTTTCATTATTTTATCTTTTCTTGTCCTTTTCAGCAGGAACTTAGTAAAGGAATTTAAACAAATAAAGAACACATAGAGTCTAAAACAAATCGCAGCTGTCCACGAAAAAATAGAAACCAAAAAATATTCTAAATATCATGTTTGGACCCATATATTCCAAATATTTTTTCTTTTTTTTTGCAGTCGCGAAATTGAACAAACACATATTCTATGTATTCCAGGATGGTTATATATATATAATGAAATTTTATCAATGCCGCCCAATGTATTGTGTCAAAACGTCAAAAACAAATATTATTTTTGCGACGCGATTAGATCGTCGGTCGCGGATTTAAATTCCGTATGGTTTATCCTAGATAATTTTGATTTATTTCGAGTTTGTTCGTAACGACTTTGGATCCATATTTTCTATTTCGTTTTTATGTATTTATCGAGCATGTCTTGGACGCGTACGTTAGTGTTTGCCGTTGTAATGTTCGAATGCGTCCACGATAAAATATATTTTTTATACTATGTTATTTTTAATCGCTATACGCGTGAGCGCGTAGCAGAATAATCTAATAATACATATCCCAAGAAGAAAACAACATATATTAAATAATTACAATATTTCTTTATTTAAAAATTATATTATAATTAAAAAAATCCGAATCGCGACGAAAACCATAAATCCATTACAAAGAAACCAAAACTTAAAAAACGAAAATATAAAAAATAATCCGATTATTTCGACCATTTTACTTCAAAAACCCGCATATATTTATTCAATCGCACCCAATACATAATAAAAAATATATAAATATATAAAAAATCCAATTTATAAAACTAAATATTATACAAATATTTTATAAAAATATTATATACATTTAATATTTAAATATATTATATTATATTATATATAAAATAAAATAAATATTTTAGTAAAAAAATATATTAATTAAAATATATGTAGTCATAAAATTAATATATTTAAAATATTATATAATCAAAAAAAAAATAAAAATAGATTATATTTTATCATTCCTAAATTAAATCGAAAAAAATAACATAAATTCAATTTAATCAAAATATATTATTATATCTATGAATTTAATATTTATTTATATATTTTTCATTTAATGTCTTTATTTGGCATCGGTTCAACCTGCTAATTTAATATGGCAAAAAAAATAAAAATATTGAAATTGCATGAAATGATCGTATATGTCCAAAAACGCTCAAATATAAGTATAATGGTGTTCAATCAATCAATTTGCAAAATATAAATCCTGTGAATGAGTGTTATGCCCTGCCTTTGCTACAAAGCCAGAAGCTGTCAGTTGATCGAAGGCCTGCGGTGTTCGGGCCCTCTTGAACAGTTCCACGGAGGCCCAGTCGAGTCAGTTGATTTCTTTTGCTGATAGGCCACTTGATAGCATTGGTTCAATTTGATTTGGCCAATGATGATGCAATGCAGTCAGCGTGTATGCTTTTGAAGCTGTGTTTAAAGATTTAAAGAAAAAGCACTTCAGCACTTCCATCCACTACTGTCAAGAGCCAACAAACTAATTCTCCAACCAAACCCGCTGGCCCGCTCTGCTGCTTGCGCAGTGAGTTTCGTCAGCAGCACAGCCTCAGAATCAAGGAGTTTTGCCGCTTGGACGAGCTACTGTAACTTGGCCTTGCCGCTCTCCATCAACTTCACATAGCACCTGCGTTTGGTGCGCAAAACAATGCCAAAGTGGTGCTGGCAGTTGCAATAACCATGCCATCAGCACGCTCACTCCATTGTACTATCTTTTTGAACCATGGACGCACACCATTCCGATCCACAATCCGTGTTGTCACCTACACAGGGGAATGACTTTGATTCCCTCCAAATAGGGAGGCATTAACTCATTTGGCTATCCTGGAGCCACCAACTTTCGGTCGCTTTGGAAGCCACTCATGCACTGCCCTGCACTCTTGCAAGAACACCAATTCCCTACCGTGAAACTAAAGCTCAATGGTTCGTTCTGAGACTATATAATTCTTTTGTCAGGGTGAAGAATGTTGATGGCCTTGATATGTCTTGTGCGAATGCTAATTGTGCGATGTCTAGCAGCATCTGGCTGCAGCTTTGGGAAGCCAAGCTGTGTGCGATGCCACTAGGGGTGTTGAGGCACCGCACGGTGCAAGTACCTGCAGTCTTTCAGTGACCCTTCAGGAACAACCATGCCTTCCCAATAATCAATAAACCGGAGAACTTCAACAAGCGTAAAGAATATGTGAATGACTCAACGACATTCCATTTGCTGCCACTCAACAAGCCTGCCTGAGCTTGTTCTGCGCCAACCTTTGCAGTCGCGGCATCTACTGCATCTTCTCATGCCAGTATCTTTTCACAGGTATGAAGTCCAGTCTAGCAACAAGGACGCTGCTACTAGGGGGAGGCCATCGCTATTAGGTTGGAGGCCATCGCTACTAGTACCAGTAGCAAGAAGCTACTAAGCTGCCTACTAGAAGCAATGCCAGGAACTACTAGTGGCTTCTTGCTCCTAGTAGCGATGCAAACAGCTTTTCCATCCTTTTCCATCATCCCATGATCTCCATGCATTCCACAGCTCCCGTTCTCAAAAGGCCGCATTGACGAAACTGCACAGCGACGAAGCGTCTCAATGCTTCGTCAAATGCGTCTCACCCAGACGCCTCACCTCTTGGCCTTGGGCCCCCCACATGTTGAGCGTCTCAGGCTTTTTGGCCCTCTCTAGCCGGTCCTGGTTCAAGAAACAAAAGATTGAGACAGCGATACCATAATACCATGTCAGCCATGCTCTTATGCCATCTTATGGCCATCAGGCCATCTTCACTAGCAAAGTTGCGCGGAATCAATTAGACACTGAAATCAAGAGGCACCAGCACTTGGCGCCTTGTTGATCGACTGCTCCACCTCCGTCATCTGCTCGTTTGCTCGCTTCGCAGCAGACTGGGCAGGGAGAAGAATCACTGACATTCAGGCAAGTTCATCGGGAAATGAGCTGCATTTGATAATAAGTCAGAATTCTAAAAACCCTCACCAGAATCCAAACCATGTCTGGCATGATGCGGCCCGTCCTTCTGGTTGATCTGCTGCTGCAAGAAATCAGCATTCTCCTTCAACATCGCACACAGCATTCACCCAACAAATCGATATTAGTAACAATGTTCGCTACTAGGGGCTCCTGGCCTTACTACTAGGAGCAAGGACGCTACT